TAAAGAAAGGTGATCGATCACCCATGCGTTGGTGCGCATCACTAGAAACGGGTTGGCAATGGACGTCAACTGGTTTGCGTAAGCGAGTAATGTGGCTGACGACGGACTGAGGAGGGGTGATATTTGAAAGTAGCCCTTTGTCGACATGGGGAATCCAAAGAATGATTCACTGAACGTCCAGGTAGGAAATTGAAAAGATGATGGCGTTTTTGCTCCGTATGTAATTATCGGTAGCTCCCACAGGCGTACGTTCAAGTGAAAGCCGAATTTCTCAGATATGTTGTTTCCGTGACGACCTGGTACGAGCACCAGTCTGCTTGCTTTGAAACTACCTCGACTCGTAATCAATCGAGCATGATCGGCCGAATCAGACACATTCGTATCAAGACCGACAAAGTATTCATCTAGGCGAACAACCACATTGGAGGTATTTGCTAATAGTCGGACGAGTGCTTGACGCACAGCCGTGACATTGACATAACCGCCTGATGAGCAAAAGATGCCGAGTAATACATTACGGAGTCCAAATCGAGTCTCAAGCTCTGTAGCATTGAGCTGCTGGCAACTGTCAGAACGTGCGCTGTTTGTGTCGTTGGTGAGCAACAGGTAACCATTCAGGAGACTCAAGAAGGTGCCATTAGACACATTCGCTTGCGCTTCAAGTGTGCGCCAGAGGGGGATGGCTCGAATGGCGGCAGAATCGCTTGGCCGGAATTGGCTCAATTCTTCATCGGTACTGTTAATCTGATTATTGTCACTCGAAGCAGCTGTGAGAACAGCAATGCGCCAGTTAGGCTTGGAATTAGCAAGCCGCAAAGCCATAGTTAAAGATACTACATTATCACCTACAATAGCCACGTCGAATGTTTCCTCTTGTATTTGCATGAGAAGTCGAAGAGCCGAAAGAATTGCGCCTTCGATCCTATGATGTGAAAACATAGATTTCTTCTGAATAGATTTTAAACTGAAATACTGGAGGACTCACCAGGCGTGAGCACTAGAGATGTGCTCTCCTACGAAATGCACATTGTCCACCGATGTGCCCAGTACTCCTTTGAGCTTACTCTCTTGATACGGTGCATATTGAGCGAAAGTACCCCCCTGTGTGTACTGATCTTGACACCAGTGTTTGGTGATACCTGTAATAGAACGTGAGTGTTTTTGATTTTTTGAATCTTGAGTTATGCGTACGTAAATTCTGTTTGAAGCCATGCTTCAGAATTTGAGAAGATAAGATACCAACTTCTTGTAGATGTACTTACTTATTCGGCTGAAATATCAGGCGAGTCGAGTCTTTTGACAGAGAGAAACCATTCATCAGATTACTCCATTTAATGGTCGCTGTCTGGTCCTCAACGACCTCACACAAAAGGTTTCCACAGACAACGCCGTTGCGAGGTTTTTTTTACTCTTCTCTTTCAATTATCACGTCGATGACCTACCTCCAGCAAAGTATTGACTGATATTGACGCCAGAATGGAGCCGCTGCACATCATTCAGAGCGATTTCAATGGCCGCCTCATTGGGTACAGCTGACCATACCAGTGAATCCTGGGACCAGGAGTAAGACGCAAGTAATGTTGCAGGCGAAGGAGCTGCCGGGAAACTGAAGTAAATCGTAGTACGTGTAGGCAAATCGGTGGTGCTAAAGCCACCATCAATGCCTAGGTCGCGCCACCACTGTCGTGTGAAGTATAGGCCTACTTTGCTGGCACAGTCATAGTGCAGCTGCCGCAAAGCATTGTAGGTGGCCACGAAACGGTGACGTGGTCGTAGGTCGAGAAGAGAAGCGGCAGTTGCTGTAGTTGCTACGATTACATGATCGAATGTCTCACTTGTATTTTGTGACGAGGCAGCAAACGATGAACCATAGGTAACTGTAGCCGACCCGTTTTGTAACTGAACCGCCGTGACTCGTGCCGACATCAGAAGTCTACATCTGCCGTCGGGAACTGCCAGACAGCGTCGCAGGAGTGCATCAGTGAAAGCCGAATTTCCGCCTTTGATATGATAAAATTTTGTCTCATCGTTAATCACTAGATGTAGTAGAACATTATTCAGAATGGATGTGTACAAACTCGTCTCTAGGTTTGTTAATAGTGCCACAAAGCGAATGGCTCCTGGCGACAAGTGTGCCTCGTCGCGTAAATACCGCTCAACACTATATTCGTCCCATTTCTGTAGTGCCTCCGTCCAGCGGTCAGCGTAGAAGAGATCGGCGATGGGTTTCACGGCTATATTCCACAATGTTGACGCTGACTGCAAAGAAAAACAAAGTTATCCTATTCGAAAAAATGATTATCGACTACCTTGTTGGTCTCATTAGGATAGAGATCGAAATTGAATTGACCCGGATTGTCATTGGCCTGTTTGCGCGTTGTGAGTACGTCGTTGATGTAGATCAGTGTGTCGGGATCGTAGTTGATGTAGGGTTCCAGTTCGAGTTGCAATCGTTCGCGAACATAGGTGTTGAGTAGACCGTGTACGTCCAACGGCAGTCGCATAGCACCCATCTCGAGCATATACAGACCTGTTGTTTCATTGCGATGAGTCCAGACTCGACCACCCGTGCGATTATTTGCTTCGAACAGAGTGACCGTATGTCCGGCCAGAGCGAGCTCAACACCAGTAATCAGACCTGATGGACCTAAAACGGAACGATGAACAACTTTGGCCGGTTGTTATCGACAGCATGTTCGGAAAAAAAGGAAATGATCATGAGGTAGTGATGGGAAGTGATCGACTGAATACGAGCACTAGAGAAGATGATTTCTAGTTTTTTACTCTCACTTGACGTGTACTATTCTATTTTTGCGAGAATAAGCCACAAGATGAAAATAGACCTTAATGTACTTCAAGAACATGTGTCCAGACGACACCGCATGTCCTCTCTGAAGGATTTCTATCAGAAATACTTGACCATGCAAGAGGTAGCAATTACAGAGTAATTCTCTTTGACTACTCAAGTAAAGGCTGAGTGCCCGATAAATTGCATAGCTGGAATTTGCTCAAAAACTGTTGTCCTACATTGATGACCAAAATATTCAGACTTTTGTCTCTGTTAAAAAGTTTGTACTTTATGTCAGATGTATTCTCGCACATTTATTTAAAAATTTCACAGAGCAGGTAACTGAAGAAAAGTGATTTCATTCGCAAAATGTTGTGGCACTCGCTCTCCTATCAAACGATATTGTGTACTCATTAGTCCGGCATTCATCCTGCACACCTTTAACTCGAGTAATCACCACGATCTGTGTCGTGATTGGCGACATCAACATTTCTTTGTCATCATTCGTCACGCTGCTCAGAAGTCTTTGATAAAATCGGTGGCATCCTCCACGTCACACGATTTGCATCACCTCTTGTTTGCTCATACTACACTTCTTATTACCATGCCGTAGACAGTTAAGTTCGTAGCCACTTTGCTGCTACTCTTCAACGCCAACCGAGTACGGTATATCGCAGAAATTTGAGAAAACATTCTTCGGATCTAAGTGAATGACACTCACTGCTTTCGTCTCGTCCGTGCTACTAAAACAGCTTGAAACTATCCATTAATTTATATCAACTCCGAACACCAATGATTTAGCAACTGATATCGACTCGGCTATTATTTCTTAGTTAGTGAACTTACCTGCGCCTACAATGCCGAATGTCTGACATTTTGTACACTTTTGCATCCCGAACCGAGCTGTAAAGTTCATCTGTTGTGAATACTCGGCTGCGGGATCAAGTAGTCGCTCGCGTTCGGTGGTCACCGATCTGCCTGTTAATTTATTTGACTGGGACTGTCGAAGTTTTTGAACGAGTACCGCTTGCGTTAGTGATGCTGATAATAAAGTATCTTCTTCCTTCATGACGGCTACCACCGTCAGTGCGGCAAGTAGAACAAGCTTCATTCACTTGTATACGCTGAATCGAAATGAAATTGATTTGCTTACTAATGGCTTTTTATGTGCCTTGCAGCAAAGGTGAAATAAGTGCAGTTCCACGTGAATGGAGTTCAAACAGAAATAGTGTACTTTCGTTCTTTACTTCTGTTTTCCTCAGTTTTCTGTTGAAATCATAAAACTCATTGAAAAAAGTCAGACTTGATGATATCAAGTGACATGTTTCGTTCTCTTTCCTCTTCACAGTATCATGTAATTCCGTTTTTACTTTTCGGGAATTTTTGTTGGAATAAAAAAGTAATTCTGTGAGAAGTCAGGCTCGATGACGTCAAGCGAAAGAATCACGTTTCGTTACTCTTCTTCTCGGTATTTGCCGACTTCGCCTGACTGGCGTTAACGAAAGAAACGGAAGTAGTGAGACAAGTACAAAAAATGTCAGTACAAAAATTAGCGCAATGTAGAAAATTTTATTTTATTTTTATTTTTTTATATTTCGAACCTTTATACGGTTATTTTCAGACGTAAAGCTGATTGTACATAAATGTAAAACCTGTATATACAAACGTGCTTTTTGTTTTGTAGTACCGTTAATTGATATTATAGCCATTTTGAGCAGTGAGAAGTTTATGATAATTACAGGAATGTTCCTTCATTTATTTATATTACTTCTATATAGCGATATCGAGACTGATCCACTTATAATCCAATTAGTAGAGTGTTAACTTAATTTCAATACTTATCTGTCAATCTCGTCATTAGATTTATATTTTTAGACATAATCCATACATAATTCTTTACAGAGCTTATAAACAATCATTTGCTTTATATTGTTCTCGGCATTTTGCAAGAACCACAATTTTGACTTTTGCTCCCAAATTGTGAAATATCAATATTTTCGCTGATCTTTCCCGTGCTGAAATTTCCGTGCTGAACTTTCACCCTTCCGATTTAACTTCTTGCCGTTCTGCTCCGTATACGCTAGTCGTTAATGGAGTCCTTAAAGATCTCCGCTTACGATCGTTTACGACCGTGCAGGTTCGACATGTGAAGATCCTGTCAAAAACTGGAAGTCTCAGTTATTGTGCCAGCCGTTAAGTCGAACGAGGCTCCTCAAGTGCCTTCACCAGTTTTTTCCGAGATCGTTAACTGTCAAAAATGTTCGCTGAAAATTTTTTTCTTTCTTGTATAGAAACACAAATAGCACAAACAAACAGCGCGACAGAGAAATTGATATTGTCGAAAAGCACATGTGGTGAATCAACTCATAGTTTCTGGCGAAAAGATTCTGTCTGAGAATCGGTGTTCCAGTTCTCAGTGTTCTCTTCCTCAGTGCTATGAGTTTCTCGCATATCTCATTCAAGCAAAAAGCACGAGATATCATATGAGTTCGACGGATGTGGAGCCACAGACAACTTTAGTTTTCTTCATGGAGTACTGTGCATGACTGATAAAGTCTATTTTCATTCTCCTCCCTGTGCCATCTTCATTTCCTCACTACTATCATCTTGAGCCGAGTTATCGAAATTTAATAGAGTCACAATAAGCACCGCGATCACTCCGCCAACATACGGTCCCGCTACATACACCCACAGACTTGCTTTGCCATCTTGACTCGAATTCACGATGGCAGGTCCGAGTGTTCTAGTCGGATTCATCGACGACGAATTTATGTCGCCTATAATTGCATTAACTACATTCACTGAACCTACGGCAAGTGCTGCCAATGGTCCGATAATACTGCCTCTTGTCGCAGTTTGCAGCACAACAAATTGAAGAAAGAATGAGATGATCACTTCCCAACCGAAACCGAGTACATTAGACGAGAGCATCTTGGGATCGATGGCATTCGTTCCGTAGATTGCATCATGTTTATACAAGGCGCGCAAAATGCTTCCTGCGGTAATTGCTGCTGTTAATTGGACAGCGTTGAACAGTGGTAGCCAGCTTAGAGGAAAAGTTCTTCGAAGAGTGAAGACGAGTGTCACCACTGGATTGAAGTGAGCACCAGAAATACCGCCGAGTGAATAAACGAGGGCCACCACCACAAGTCCTTGGCCGAGAGCATTCTCGAGCGGAGTAAGGCGGTTCAATTGCATTTCAACGCGCATGCTTGCATAGCAGAGAACGAGGAGCAAAGTACCGATGAACTCACTAAGGAGGCGTTGAAGTAGTTTGCGGAGCGAAGCTTTTTTGTCATTCTTGTACGCTGTTGGCTCCTCTTCAAGCCCAAGGTAGATAATCCGATCATGTTCGGGTGATGATGGTTGCTCTCGATGACCGCTGAGTATTGATCGCAGAGCGAGCAATGATTCTCGATGCTCCACTTCTCGTCGACGTGTTGATTCTTTTTCCATCCATTGCTGTTTCTGACACTGTTCAATCAGCGGTGGTTCAATGATATGCTGGAATAGTCTGCCTATGATGAGTCGAAATATTAGAATTTAAAGTCGAGGATGCTTGTTCTCTTACCGGGCAATGACGGCGACTCTTTTGCCGTTTTCATTTTGTTTTTTCTACACTGCGCTAATTTTTGTACTGACATTTTTTGTACTTGTCTCACTACTTCCGTTTCTTTCGTTAACGCCAGTCAGGCGAAGTCGGCAAATACCGAGAAGA